TGTGCTGGGCAGCTGTGGAGACATAGAAATGGAACTGGAAAGGAGTACTAGTTGGAGTTGTTGCTCGTCTGCATTTCTAGAAGCCACAGATTTGACTGGATGGAAAGAGTCCCCCTGGGAAGGGACGGTGGTCTCTGGGTGTGCTTCCTCTCGGTAACAGGGTGGGAGCTCTGCCCCGTGGTAAGATGGTAGAGCTCACATCTGGGCAGGCAGTGCAGGCACGCTAGTGCCCGCTGTGGGGCTGCATTCCTCTAGCATCCTGGCTTCAGCTTGCTGAGACTGTTGGATTTCCGCAGCATCTTCATGTTAGTAACAAAAACAGTCACTGTGACAAAGAGCAAGTGCCGTGTGTGTGTGTTTGTGTGTGTGTGTGTGTGTGTGTGTGTGTGTCTTTTCCATCGTAGCCGAGTTCCGTCGTCTTCCTCTTCTGGCACCGTGTCCAGCAGGAACTCTTTAGTGTCGCTCTTTAGTGTATTGTAACACTGCAGTAAAGGTAACTGAAGGCTTCTCCAGCACTCCTCTCTGCTAGGAGTCTGTATCCACTTGTTCCCTTTCTTTGCTTCCCAGTTTTTAGTTATTTAAAAACTTAACGAGATTTCATTTAACCCAATTTATTTTGGAGGCAATAATATGTCTTAAATCATCTCTGTAACCTGTTTCTCACAGAATTGGCATATCGTTCCAGTAGAAGATCAGTAAACATTGTTTCTATTACAGTAGCAGGGCCGTTGTTATCAGCCGGCTTCCGGAGGGTTTCTGCGCAGAAAGAAAGCACTTGCTGGCCTCGTGTTTACTTCTCTCTAACCTCTCCTGGTCTTCCCCGGCCTTTGGGACCTCAGACCGTTCTAGCCTTGGGCCATTTTGTGTCATCTTTTTTATTTTATTTGCATGAGTATTTTGCCTACGTGTATGTCTGTGCACCACTGCCATGACTGGTGGAGGCCAGAAGAAGAAAATGGATCCTTTAGAACTGGAGTTACAGACAGTTAGGAACTGCCATCTGGAATTGAACTCCTGTCCTCTGAAAGAGCAACCAGTGCTCCTAACCACTGAGCCATCTTTCTAGTCCCTTTTGTGTCGCTCTTTAGTGTATTTAAACCATTTATTCATATTGTTCAATTTAGGCTTTAAATTTTTTAGTAAATGTCACTTTTCTGACACCACTAAACATCCATATTTACTTTTTAAAAAGCCTGAGGATAGGGTATAACTCAGTGGTCATCTGTGAGTCCCATGTTCATTTTCCAGCCTATACACACCAATAAAAATAAACATTAGCAGTAATGCTTATGTTAAAAGCATCAGTGTTCTGAGGGCTTAGATCTGTGGTCCTTGATCATCAGTGGATTTGTATCCGCTGACCATTAATATCCGGTCTGGCCTCTTAGAATCAAGGTATGGACACCTGTGTACCCCGACATTTCTTTTGTCCCCTTGAATGCTCGCTGTGCATTTGCTAACTTACTGAATCACTGCAGCTTGAGGCACTGGCGACAAGAGACAGTATATCAGATTTATTCAAGGGTCCAAATTACTCCCCTTCATTAAATACTTAGAGTATTTGTCAGTACACTGAGAATGAGTACAGCTACCGATAGGTTTAAGGTTAAAAATGGCTAGTTGAAGCTGAGTGTGGTAGCACCCTGCTTGTGATTTTAGTACTCAGGAGACCTAGGAAGGAGGAAGGTGAGCCCCAGGCCAGCTTGGGCTACATAGTATAAATCTCATTTAACCCATGTTTCCATGTTTCCAAATGTAACCAGTTTTCTATATTCCTTGAAAGGAGGGATTCCTTCATATGTCCCCAGAGTAGGTACTTTTTTCATCAAAGGAGTGCTCTCCAGTTGAAGTATTTCAAAATCTAACAAATTTGTTGTCCATGTTCTTTATAATTTCATTCTCCGACCAGAATATCCCCTTTTCTTATCTATTTTTCTATCTTTGCCCCTTTTAAGGTCCTCAAGATAATTACTATTGATTTTTAAAATTGATCCAGGAGTACTATATTTGTATTATTTCCACCCCTCCCCCTCCCTACTCTCCCATACTCCTCACCCCTTCTCAAATTCATGACTTCTAATAGAATTGTATAACTATACATGCGCGTGCACACACACAAACATCCAAGAGCCTCCTGAGTCTGTTTAGTGTTGATGCTATGTGTATGTGTTTAGGGCTGCCCACTTGGGTTGGATAACCTGTTGGGGCTCATCCGTGGAGAAAACTGATTCTTCCTTTCTCAGCCACCATTAATTGCCTGTAAATCTTCATCTTGGGGGGAGGGAGGCTTATGAAATTTCCCCTATTGATGTTGGTGTGTTGACTAATGGTGTCATTATCCAGGTCTTATTTAGGAGATCCTCCTGTTTAGATCTCATGGGTGCAGCATCCTGTTGTGTCTACAAGACACTGTCTAGTAGCAGATGTCCTGGACCTCTGGCTCTCAGCAGTCTTCACAGTCTTCCCACCCCTTCTTCCACAGTGGCTCCTGAGTCTTAGGTGTAGGTGTTCATTGTAGATGTACTGATGGGACTGCACACTCCACTGTCACTTACTCCCTGCATTCTGACCAGTTGTGGACCTCTGTAGTAGCCTCCATCTGCTGCAGAAAGAAGCGTCTTTGATGAGGGATGAGAGCTGTATGTATCTGTGGGCACTGGGGTAAGTATTGAGGATGCAGTTAGAAATGAGATTGAATTAGGAAAATGGCAGTCGTACGTTCTGCAGTCGGATCCATGACCAGGGACAGTTAGCTGGGTTTACAGAGCCAGGGTTGAAGTCCCTCCTCTTGAGTGGGTCTTAGTCCAATAGACAGCTGTGGGTTAGCCTCCAGGGTGCCACTGTTGCCCCCGGGCATGTCCTGCCAGGTCAGTCACAGGCTTCCCCGCTGGGTAGGACTTTCGATAGCTCTTCTCCCTCGGCAGCTTGTGTAACACTCTCAGGTGCTGTGAGAGTCGGTCCTGTCAAGTCAGTCAGCTTGAGTCCTCCGAGTCCTGTGTCTGAAGTGTGTAGTGTCCAGTAGGAGGGTCTCACCTTAAAATTCTGGCAGGCAGCCAAAGGCAGTGGCCTGTATTGTTTGGGGGGTCCCTTGACCCTCCCTGAGCAGCACCTCAAAGGGAGGCTCCCCGTGCCTGCACTCCCTCCTCCTTAGCACCTGTCAGTGCGTCTCGGAGTTTCCAGCCTTGTTTTTTGAGGTGAATGGTATGAGTTGTGCTATTTCAACTGTTGGTTTTAGCATGGTTATACATGGATAAACGTGTGGTTTTGACCTTAGGATGTCATTTTATAAACATTCTACTCAAAGCCAATTTTGACAGTTTTTATTCTTTTTATTATATACATAATTGTGTGCCTTGAAATTGTGCCTGAAGAAAATGAAGTACCCTATATAAAGTTGTCAGTCATTGTTCAGTCTGTTCCTTAAAAGTTTATGTCACACACACATACATGCTCATGTGTCTCTGCAGCACAGGTTTTGACCTGTACCCAGTGCCTCAGACTGGGGTGTGTGTGTGTGTGTGTGTGTGTGTGTGTGTGTGTGTGTTTGTGTGCGCGTGCACTTTCTAACAAAATCATTTTACATGGTATTCACCAAAGGTAAGAGAAGGAGAGCTTACTTTTTGCCACATACTTTTCTGAGAAGCTCAGTGGTATTAATTTGTGAGGTAGGCAGTTCTTTCACCATTTCTACAGATCAGAAAACTGAGGAAGAACTGCAAAATAGTTTACCCAAATTCTACCAGCTAGTAATAGTGAGCGTGTTGAAATCTAGCTAGTCTGACTCAGTGGCCTTCCTGTGTTTATACGTTGTTGCTGACCTTTGCCTATGTGTGCATGTGTAAGTACACACATGTGTACATATGAAGGTTCAAAATTGATGTTGGATGTCTTCCTCAATTCTCAATTTATTGAAGCAGGTCTCTCAACTGAACCTGGAACTTGCTAGTACCTAGGAAATCCTGTCTCTGTCTTACAAGAACCTGCCCAGCTTTTACATAGGTTCTGGGGATCTGAACTCCACTCCTCATGCCTGTGTCACAAGGATTCTGGGGATCTGAACTCTGCTCCTCATGCCTGTGTCACAAGGGTTCTGGGGATCTGAACTCTGCTCCTCATGCCTGTGTCACAAGGGTTCTGGGGATCTGAACTCCGCTCCTCATGCCTGTGTCACAAGGGTTCTGGGGATCTGAACTCCGCTCCTCATGCCTGTGTCACAAGGGTTCTGGGGATCTGAGCTCGGCCCCTCATGCCTGTATCACAAGGGTTCTGGAGATCTGAACTCTGCCCCTCATGCCTGCGTCACAAGCACTTTTTTCACTGTGCCTTTCCCCAGCCTGCCCTGCTCTGCTAAGTGATATGTCAGCCTTTCCAATTTGCTGATACCCTTAGGTGTTAATATTTCTTACATATTTTCCTTCCTGTCTCTTTAAGGATTAAAAAAATTTAAGGTTGTTCATGCCACATGCAGAACCTCACTCTGACCTTCATTTTCCTTAGTTTTTTTTAAAAAAAAATGAGGGACTGGAGAGATGGCTCAGAGGTTAAGAACACTGACTGTTCTTCCAGAGGTCCTGAGTTCAATTCCCAGCACCCACATGGTGGCTCACAACCATCTGTAATGAGATCTGGCGCCCTCTTCTGGCCTGCAGTGATACATGCAAACGGAACACTGTATACATAATAAATAAATCTTTAAAAAAAAAAAATGAGATTAGAGATCAGGAAGTTAATGCATGACTCCTACCAATGGGGCAGAGAGGCCCCACATTTCCCAAAGTGTGTACCGAAGAGTAATTTCAGAACTGCCGATTGTCTATAAACAGGCTCTCAGTTTTCATGGCAAGCAGGAGTGTTTGTAGGTAGTCCAGCCTGACCACTATGTGTTCAAGGCCTCTTAAAGGGTTCCTGCCATGGAGGTAGTCCCACCTCTGTGCTGGAAAGTGGGTGGTGATGGTGAGCAGCACCTTAGGAGCCTGTCTAAACCCTGTTGTGTTTTGCAGTGGATAGCCTGCTGAAGTACACTGGCTATGGGAACGCCGCAGGACTGCTGGCGGCCAGGGGCCTCTTGGCTGGAGGAAGAGGAGACAATTGGTACTCGGAGGACGAGGACACGGACACTGAAGAATACAAAAATGCAAAACCAAAGTACAGTACCACATTTCTGTTTACCTAGGGAGCGGGTCGTTCAGTTAGCACTTTGTCTCCACTCCCTGTGGCTTCCTTTTCCAGTGCTTTCTCTTGTGCAGTTGTGAGTTCTCCATCTCCCAGTGTTTTTAGAGACACAAGTTAGTCCCTTAGAGTGACTTCAAGTGATGGAAGGACAGTATCTCATGGAATGTGCTGCACGATTCTTTCAACAAGTTCATTACTCTCTTTGAAGCCGTAAAAGTGCTGGAGCAGTTTTAGATGCTGATCATCAGTTTCACAGAGCATTGTGATTGTTTGCCTTCCTTTACATGAGACTTTCTAATAGACAGCTAACATACATGCGTACATAATACAGCACACAGCTAACATACATGCGTACATAATACAGCACACAGCTAACACACTTGCAGACATGATACAGCACACAGCTAACACATGTGTACATAATACAACATACAGCTAACATACATGCAGACATTATACAACATACAGCTAACATACATGTGTACATAATACAGCACACAGCTAACACACATGCGTACATAATACAGCACACAGCTAACACACATGTGTACATAATACAACATACAGCTAACATACATGCGTACATAATACAGCACATAGCTAACATACATGCAGACATAATACAGCACACAGCTAACACATGTGTACGTAATACAGCACACAGCTAACACATATGCAGACATAATACAGCATACAGCTAACACATATGCAGACATAATACAGCATACAGCTAACATACATGCGTACATAATATAGCACACAGCTAACATACATGCATACATAATACAACACACAGCTAACGCACATGCAGACAATATAGCATACAGCTAGCATACATGCGTACATAATACAGCATACAGCTAACATACATGTGTACATAATACAGCACACAGCTAACATACATGTGTACATAATACAGCATACAGCTAACATACATGTGTACATAATACAACATACAGCTAACATACATGCAGACATTATACAGCATACAGCTAACATACATGCAGACATTATACAACATACAGCTAACATACATGTGTGCATAATGCAACACACAGCTAACACGTGTATATAATACAGCATACAGCTAACATACATGTGTACATAATACAACATACAGCTAACATACATGCAGACATTATACAGCATACAGCTAACATACATGCAGACATTATACAACATACAGCTAACATACATGTGTGCATAATGCAACACACAGCTAACACATGTGTACATAATACAGCATACAGCTAACATACATGTGTACATAATACAACATACAGCTAACATACATGCAGACATTATACAACATACAGCTAACATACATGCAGACATTATACAACATACAGCTAACATACATGTGTGCATAATGCAACACACAGCTAACACATGTGTACATAATACAGCATACAGCTAACATCAGGTATTGAAGTTGGTCATTGGAGGCTTCAGTCGTTCTGAGCACCCTTGCGTAAGAAACCCGTACAGCTCAGAAAGTACTGCACCAAGGCCAGAGCTGCAGACGGAGAGACGCTGGCCCTGCACTGAAGTACTGTCAAGCACACGCTTGGGAGCTCGGCTTTTAACAGTGTCTCAGTGCCCTGGAGGGACAGACCTGAGACTCAGCGACCTCTCAGTCAGTATGTGCGATTAAAGACACTCATTCTCTTAAGCTCTACCCTCCTCCTCCTCCTCTCCGCCTTCCTTCTGCTCGTCCTCTCCGACTCCCATCCCCAGTTTCCACTTGCTGGCAGTCATTTGAGCTGAGTTTTCACTGGGTTCCATGACTGGTTGCTACTGTCGGGGATCCTGACATGCTCTTTTCTACTGACCTTCTTCTGGAGACTGATAGGGCTTATAAAGTAGGAACCAAGAATAGAAAATCACAATCTGTAAAATCAAGTATGGATTGTGTTCTGTTGACAGGATAATATTCAATCGCCATCAAGTGAAAAAATTACCAATCTCTAATCAGGCAGGAACAACATGACCTATTTCTTGACAAATCAGGTTTGAGTACATGGTGTTATTTTTAGCATCCTAATACTCTGAGCTTCAGCAGGATCTTACAGAATGTTACCTAAGAAACAAAAGCTTTGGCTGGGGGAGGAATGCTAACGGCAGGTCTTAAGCAGGGAGCTTTATAGACTACTGTCACTTAGATTGTAGCTATGGGCTGAACATCTCTGTCAAGTATTTGAAAATAAAATGGCGGAATTGTACTTATTCAAGTCGATATTCTGAATTAGTTTTGCAAGCTCTTGTTTTTATCATTCCATACACTACATTTCCATGTCATTGTAGCGCTTTGTGTCTTTTCATGAGGGTTAAAGATATACTAGTTGACAAAGTCCCCTTTTCGTTGTTGGTGTGTATTTGGGGGTGGGGGCGGGTGCTCACTGTGTTGCCCAGGCTGATCTCCAAGTCCTAGACTCAAGTAGATCCTTACACCTTGGCTCCCCAGTAGCTCAGACTTTAAGCACACACTGCCATAACCAGCTTGTCATTGTAAATGAAGATGGAGATAACACGAGCTTTTTCTCAAATTCCAGGGCATGTGGACAGTCAGCTAAGGTATAAGGTATAAGTATTCATAGGTGGTTGGTGTCTGTATTTCAGTGTATGTGCTTGATTCTGTCTAATAGATGGCTTTTATAATGGCCGTGGTAACTAGAAAGTACAGCGTGCTACCATAACAAGGAGCTTAAAGAAGGCACGGGAACATTGTGCTGCTCCCAACAGTGTAGGAAATTAAGGTTCATTAGGTTGCAGAGGTGATGTTAGACCTCAGAAGGCACCTTTGTTTGAATCAATGTTGATGTCTTAGCTCTCTGCAGTGGGACGAAACTGCTTGGGCTTTGCAACCTCACTGAAATCTTCCTCAGATCTTGGACTTGACCAGAGTCGTCACCAATGTAAAATCTTGGTCTCTGAAACATTGCTCATTAATTATAAGCATAAATCTGAGTTTTCAAGTAATCCACACCCACTTCAAATAGATTAGTGTCTGTTTGTCTTTCAAATCTCCCTCTCGGGGAAAACCTGGTGGAATCTTTAATGTTACTTTAATATATATTCTTCCAGGGGTCCCTGTGGAATTGACAGTGAGTAAAATACTTTATCAACAAGGCAACCCTCTGTTACTCCGGGGAATGACCCACGGAGCTTGAAGAACTTGTGTGGAAAACTTTTTACTAGTCTGACCAAACTTAGAAAGTGGGCCTCTGGAGGAAGGGCTCATTTTACTGCCCCCTTTATCATTCAGTGTCCCCAGGACCCCACTGAGCTGTTCTTATGATGTGTTTATTCACAACCGTTGATGGTATTAGCAAAAGTAATCACTTTGATCCAGGTGGCCCAAGTCCCGTTGTCAGAAACGTAAATGGATCCTGATTAATGCTCCAAGGTAACCTGTAATCCTTTATTTGAATCTAAAACCAAGATAGTATGGAGCTTCTATCCAGGCTTTAGGACACGGTTACTTTTACAGGTTTTTTTTGTTTGTTTGTTTGTTTTTTGTTTTGGTTTTTTTCTTGGTTTTTTGTTGTTGTTGTTGTTGTTGTTTTTGGTTTTTCGAGACAGGGTTTTTCTGTGTAGCTTTGCGCCTTTCCTGGATCTTGCTCTGTAGACCAGGCTGGCCTCGAACTCACAGAGGTCCACCTGCCTCTGCCTCCCGAGTGCTGGGATTAAAGGCGTGTGCCACCACCGCCCGGCTTACTTTTACAGTATTTAATGAACTGAAAATGGCTTTCTGCAATTAGGCACTTTTAAACAAAGTGTACTCCTAGAATCCAGTTACATCTAGCCAGTCAGGCTTGATAAGTTTTCAGATACAGTCCTTTGCAAAAGGAAACCAACTGTCTAAACTCTTGTTCGTTTGTTTGTTTGTTTTGTTTTAGACAGGATCTTACTTTGTAGCCCAAGATGGCCTCAGACTCACAGACTCACTTGCCTCAGCCTCCCAAATAATGGAATTAAAGGCCCATACCACCACACCGAGCTAAATTTTAATTTTATACTTCTCTCTTTTATGTATCTGAGCATGGAGCCCCTTGATAACTGATGTGGTTTATGTCATTCTAAACGTTAGTGGAAAGATGGATGTTTAATGTGTCTGACTTACTTTCAACCTTCAATCCATAGCTTTCAGGCTAGGTGCGTAGGCATCCAGAGTTGTCTTACGGGGCGGCTTTATAGAGAGGCAGGAGGAGAGGCAGGGCCAAAAGTGGCCAGAGCCCTGCATAATTTCTGAGTCTTCACGTGAGTCTGTGGAGTGCAGAGCCTTGGAACTGGGCCCAACATTCTTGGGTACACTGATCTCGATGCTGATCGAGTACACTGATCTCAGATGCTGTGGCATTGTCCACGTGGACTGTCCCTTCAGCGAGGCATCATCGTGGTGATATGTTGTGTACCCTAAACTTGCCTGAGGATCAGAGGACAGAGCCAGCCACTAGATTAGACAGAGGCCAGACCGTGGTGGCACACACCTTTAATCCCAGGGAGTGATAGCTGGGTAGAGAAAGGTATGGAAGGCGTGAGGAGACAGGAACCCACGCTCTTCAGGCTGAGGATTTCGTAGAGGTGAGAACTAGTGGCTGCTGGTCTGCTGCTCTGATCTTCCAGTTTTCACCCTCATGTCTGGCTCTGGGTTTTCATTATAAGACATTTAGAAATTTGAGCAATTATTCTCCTCTGTCAAGATTTTGTTGTGCTGCTGGGGTCTGGTAGTAATTGTCTTCTTGTTGTGTAAATTTTATGGTCTTAGTATTTCTTAAAGTGAATGAACCACAGATCAATTTAGAGATTTTTATCCTTGCCTAATCCGGACTGTGTTTGTACAGAATAGGATTTAACTAATTTAGGAACCAAGGTTTATGACTATAAGCACCCAGTGAAACACATCTAAGATCTGGTCATGAAAAGACCCTAGTTGGAAACAAAACCATTACGGTTTCTGCCACATCCACATC